AGCCATGTTACTGAGTTCTGAGAGTTCTTTTTATGTTTTGGGTACTAGTCTTTACCATGAAATTTCATTTGAGATTTTTTTATATTTTTTATCTAGTGTGAGCGCTTTTTTTTTTTTCTTTTTTGCAGAACCGGGGATTGAACTCAGGCCCTTGCGCTTGCCAGGCAAGCACTTATTCTACTGAGCCATCTCCCTGGCCCCATATATTTTTTATCTTTTCAAGTGAGTTACAAATTTTTTCCAGTATTGTGAATGTATGGAATAGTTAGGATGTGTTAGATACATTATGGATTTGTCTTAGAAGGCACTTACATTATTTGGAAATGTTTTGAAACTTTTCCATCCATCCATCCATCCATCCATCCATCCATTTAATCTAACTATCTAATTATCTAACTGTCTGAGCTGGGGACAAGGTCTTGTGAAGTTGCCTTATTGTCCAGGCTGGACTGGAACTTGTGATCCTGCTTTGGCTTCCCAGACTATGATGTTCCACTTGTTTCCCATTTTAACTGGTCTGAACAGCTGTGTATGTCTGCAGATTGTTGCTTCTAATAGTTTTGGTAGCTTTCCCCCTCTGCCTTGAGTAGTTATTACATATACACTTACACTCTTTGTGGAATACTGGAAAAGGATCTTGGATTCTCTGTGCACTTCTGTCTTTGGTAATCTGTCCTTTGAACTCTGGCCATCTTAGTACCCCGTTTGCTACCTTGCTTTCCCTTTGCCATAGCTGGAGACTCAAGAGTTAATTATATTTTCATCTTCATTGTACTCTGTCTTGTAGTCACTGCTTGACAGGTAGTATCTTGAGAACCATTGTTTTTTTTTTTTTAATTTTTTTTTTTTAATTTGTTTATTTGTGTGTGTGTGTGTGTGTGGCCAGCTCAGCCCACCAGGGGGCGGGGCTGGCTGGCATGTGGTGCTGGGGGATTGAACCGCAGTCCCTGTGCTTTGCTAAGCTTGTTCTAAGTAGGTGCTTTAGACCACTGAGCCATCTCACCAGCCCCTTTTTAAAAAAAATTTTATTTATTTATTTATTTATTTTGACACAAGGACTCACTATGTAGCCCAGGTTACCCTTGAGCTTGCAGTGATCCTCCTGTCTCAGCCTCCTGAGTGACCATTATTTCATAGATTTGATTACAATAAATTAATTTCCTGGTGAGAGGTTAACCCTTTCTATGTCACTTCATATTGGTTGCAAGTACTTCTTGTTATGTAGGTTATTTTTTCTCCTGCTCTTTTTTTTTTTTTTTTTTTTTTATTTGTGTGTGTGTGTGTGTGTGTGTGTGTGGCCAGCTCAGCCCACCAGGGGGCGAGGCTGGCTGGCATGTGGTGCTGGGGGATCGAACCGCGGTCCCTCTGCTTTGCTAAGCTTGTTCTAAGTAGGTGCTTTAGACCACTGAGCCATCTCACCAGCCCGTCTTTTTGGTAGTACTATTTCTTCTATGTTTTTTCCCCTCCTACAATCCTAGATGGAATGTTTTACTGTTCCAAATTTGATTTTGTTTTTGATTTTTTTCCTTTTTTTACAAACTCTTAGGATGGCATTTTTCTCTCAAGGCTTTTGTTAATGATCATTCTCTTCTTGTTGGTGTAATGCTCTTTGAAAATAAAAAAAAAATCATTCTTACTAGTACATGTTTGCAGTATATAGTGCTTACATTCATTGTGGGGAGCTGGTACATGTACAGTACGTGTCTTAACGTGTTTTACATCCATTTCTAATGCTCTTACGCCTTTTGAAATGTGACAGTGTCTCTAACATGTTAAAGGATTTTTTAAGGTGGTGTGTATTTAGAGAATGTGCCAGTAGCTGTTTGGTTGGGTTCAGGTCATCAACACAACCATCGACCATCGAGTGCCTTCATGCCACTTTCTGGTTCTTACTGAAGTGTATGAACTAGATATTGGTAGTCCGCGTGCACTCTCACAGCAGTTGCACTCCTGTTCAGTTTTCCCAGGTTCGTTTGATGAGAAGTGGTAGCGTTCCCTGACATCTTCTGCTTGATCTGTCTCTCCTCCCTTTTTCTCAGTGTCTTTTTCCATAGAACTCATGTCATGATTTCCAGTGACAAAATTCCTCTGATATGCTTGAGATTAATCTTACTTGAAACAACATTTTGTGATTATCATCAGTATAGAAATAGAGTGATATGAGACAGAAGCCTGATGTCCTAAGGGAGTAAAGAGCAATAAACAGAGCCCAAGGAGAACTGTCCTCTTGTAAATACCGGCAAGCTGGGATGCAAGGCTACAGATAACAACTTTTCCTGCTGGCCTGCTGGCTCCCTGTCTGTTCTTTGATCTCTAGCTTGGGATGTTTTCGCCAGCATTGTGTAAACTGAGAGTTAGGTAAATGCCTGTAGGCAATAGAGTAGTTTGTGTTCACAAAAGTAGTTAACACACATTCCTTAGCCTTTTAGCCCTCAATAAATGTGAGAAGATTCAGTGGCTCCAGGTTCACTTGGAAACTAATCTCAGTGAGACCTCTGAAGCTATATTAATCCAATCTTCCAGTCATTTCTTTCGGCTCTGACTTATAACATACAACACATCAGTTGAACATTTTTGTTGTAATTGCAAAAGAGAACTCAGATTTAGAAAATCACACGCATTGCATGGCTTAAACATCCTTGTATCCACTCAGGTTAGGAAAATGACCTTTGCTAATTACAGCAGAGGATGTTCCATGAGTTCCTCACCCCTTAAGTAACTATTATCCTTTTATCTTAAAGACTTTGTTGTGATTCTTTTTGTGTTTTAAAAATACAGATATTGTGGCATTTTTAAGTCCTTCTTTCATGTCTTCTACTTAGTATCACTGAGTTTTCTCCAACTTTTTAATCATCTTTTATCTTTTGTGGTTGATGCTGTTCTACTTTTTTGATATCTTCATTCTTTTCACATTTCAATTTAGATTTCTGTCATAAAGTACATTAATGTAATCAAATACTTTTTAAAATCTTTTTTAAAAATGTATTTTAGTACAGAGTCTACAGGGTCTCACTACGCAGATCGGACTCGGAGTGATTCTCCTGTTTTCAGCCTCCCAAGTATTGGGATTGCAGGTGTACACCACCATGCCCAGTTTCAGCCCCTCAGCATGCTCCGGGGGTGGGGTTGGCATGGCACACGGGGGATCAAACCCCGGTCCTGCTTTAGCTGAGCTATCTGGCTTGCCCTCAAATACATTTCTTGAGTTTTGAAAGATTGGACCACTCAGGAATCATTGTCCAAATAAAACTGTCAGTAGAGCACCCAATTTCTGATTTTGACAACTGTGTGTTTTGTTGTGTAGGTAGTGTTCATATTGTTTTCTTTGCCAAATGAACTGGAAGATGAGATGATAGCATCATTTATATCTGTACTAAAGATTTACTCTAGAAGTGTTTTTGCCATGTACGTTAGTAGTAGAAAGGGAGGCATTGAGGATGCACTTTGCTGTTTGTAGTATGGAGGACCTGTTCATAACATGGTAGTTACTGACTACTTCAGGTTGGAATGCACACATCACATAAAATAGTAGGATGATTCTTACTTGTTGTCTGTGTGCTGAGCAGAAGACGCTGTGGCAGAATGATCCTCTGCAGGTATCAGTTCTTCATAGAATCTAATGAAGAGGTATCATCTTCCTGCAGTAATTATCTTATGTTTTGTTTTTTGTTTGAGGGTTAAGGATTTTTTTTTTTTTTTTTTTTTTATTACAAGTCTTAAAATCTGGGACCAGTTTATTTTTTAAAAAATGGTAAATTCAGCCCAGGATTTTTTACAACCAAACCAAAAATTACTACATAGTTCATTAACGCAACCAGTAAATTGGCAAATCCAACCGCAGACTTACAAAGTTAGTATCAGGGTAAGGACACAGCCCGAGAAGACCCAGGCCCCTGAGGCGCGAAAGGAAAGGCATCCTGCCTTCCAGGTCGGAAAGCAATTCTGCTTCAGGAGATTTGCATAGAAACAGAAAGCGCTAGAGCCTCTGCGACAGGGGAGAGTGCAAAGCCGGCCCAAACCGGCTCGATCCCAGAAGCACGCGTTAAATTGGCGCCCAGACAGAACAAGCTGCATTTCCAGTAGAAAGCTGTCGGCAAGCTCTGAAAACGTTAGTGGCACGCTGCAGAAGTGCTCGGCCTTCGGAAGGCCCCGGCCTCTTCACCCGACACCACCACAGGGCGCTGCTCCGCGCCCAGGACCTCGGCGGCCCATCAGTTTGTGCACAGGCAGCTTCGGGGCCTTTCGCCGGGCTTAGGACTGAACCCAGGGCCTCCAGGGAAGCAGCACTGTGCTGCCGAGTTACCACCTCCGCCCGGTGCAGGCCTTCCGGCAGGAGGTCCATCCGGGGACTGGGGGCACTGGGCTTTCCTGGGCAACTCCTACCCCCTGCGCCGGCCGGCCCTCGCAGCACCCCGAGCCGGCGGCTTTCCAGGCGCCTCTTGAAGCTCCGCCGTGTCTCCAGCGCCCCCTGCTGGACGCCGGAGTGGCGGAGGCCGGCGGAAGCGAAGGTCTATTCTGCGCACTTAGTACTTACTCCTCCTCCGAGCCCCCTTACCAAGGGCGGGACACGCAAGAAGGCCGCAGGTCACATCTTCTACGGAAGAAAAAGGACTGGAACACGTAACTCAGCATCGGAGAGCCTTGGAATTAAAAATGGGCGGATGTCCCAGCCATTCCTGGAAAGAGACCACCTATTCTGCTTTCGATGACTGAGGAAACACGTTAGGCTCCCGAGTCTTCCTCTGAGAGAAGGGTACATTCACGCGAAAGCGACTGTTACCTTTTGTAAGGTAAAGGACGAGTCCAGCTCCCATCGCCACGCCCTCCTCCACCGGCTGGGGCTGGACTGTCCGCTCCCCGGGCAGCCGCCTCCTGACATGCGGCGTCGCGACCACAAAGTCTAACTGTAAGTGAGCGGCAGCCCGGGAAGCCCGCTGCTGTGACCGCCAAGTTCCCCTTCAATCCGCACTGCAGAGATACAAGGATAAGCCACCGTTTTGGTTCCCAAGTTTTATTCAAGAACTCATAAAAAATATTCCAGACAAAGGAGCTTTAATCCTCATCTTCCTCCTCCTCTTCGTCCTGGTTAATCTGGAAGTAACGTAATTCATAACTCTCTTTGCTGCTAGCAACTACGCGCAACCAGTCACGCAGATTATTCTTCTTCAAATATTTTTTGGTGAGATATTTCAAATACCTTTTGGAAAAAGGCACCTCGGAAGTCACGGTGATCTTGCTCTTGCTCCTTTCGATGGTGACCACCCCTCCACCGAGATTCCCGGCTTTGCCGTTCACCTTGATTCTTTCCTGGAGAAACTGCTCGAAGTTGGCAGCGTCCATGATTCCATCTTCTACAGGATGTGTGCAATCAAGGGTGAACTTCAGGACCTGCTTCTTTTTTTTGCCCCCCTTCGCTGCAAGCTTTTTCACGGGCGCCATGGCGGCCGAGGACTCGGAAAGGGAGGTAGACGCGCTACGCGCACGCAAAGAGCTGCCGCACGCCGAGGGTTAAGGATTGAACCCAGGACTTTGCACATGCTAGCAAGCACACTAAACGACAGTAGTCCCTCATTATTTTGTGGTTTGACTTTGGCAGACTCACTGTTTTCAAAAAGTACTAATTAAGTTATTTATTGTGGATTTTTCTCTATATTGCAGGATTTTGCCATATGGTACAGTATATGCGTGTTGTTAAAATTATGTAGGCTTATGAGTTTAGGAAATGGATTGAACTCAAGACGTTGTGCTTGCCAGGCAGCTACTTATACCACTGAGCCAACCCCCCAGTCCCCTGAGTTTAGAAAATGGAAAAAAAAAAAAAAAAATGGTTAACATTAGAAGTGTTTTAAAAAATGTGGGAAAGGCTTATACGAGTGTGGGAAGGGTTTATAAAGCCTTAAAATGTATATAAATACTAAAATAACAATAATGTTGCTACTTTGCTGATCTTCACTTATCGTGGAGTGTCTGGAATGTAACCTCTGTGATGGAGGGGGACCACTGTACATACATCCTCACCCCTCGTGCCAAACTTTTAATTGGACTTCTATTTTGAATTTTGAGCTATTTTAAGCTGCTGATGCTTCTAGAGTGGTGGCTTTATATTTTGTATATACTCACAAATTGGGTGAGGAGACATATTTTAAGTAAACTCAGTCCATTAAAAAAGATGGAAAGATTGTAATATTCAAGTAAATGAGTTAAACCAAGATGATGGAAATAAGATTCAGCTTCTCATGTGGAATGTTTAGAAATTCTGATAGTGTAATTAGGGCTAAATTGCTAAATGGCTCCTGCATTGATTTATAAATTTAAAGGCACTTAAAACTTGGTGTTTAGTCATGAAGCAGCCACATGTTCTCTAAGCAATTCCAGAAACTCTCTTCTTCTAAGGAAACCACATGAGAATTATTTTTTGTTTTGGTGGTAGCAGGGATTGAACTCAGCACCTTGCACTTGCCAGGCAAGTGCTTATTCTATTGAGCTATCTACCTGGCCTTCGCATGAGAATTTTGACATGCTTCCTTGAGATAGTAACAGATGAAATTTATGGGTAAGTGTATCAGAAAATCTGAAATTCATTCTTTTTGATAATTATGTAATCTTGAGTAAAATCCCCTAACAGATCTTGCCTCAGTTTGTTCTGTAAAATGGAGTTGGAGATAGTGTGATCTGTTATGACACAGACAGGTCACACTACTGAGATCAGAATACTCTTGAGATCAGAATACTTCAAAAATAGAATGTTAAAACTCTTACTACAGGTATTTTATATTTGAAATAGTGTTTTGATGCAACTAATAATGTATTTTTTTTCTGTGCTAGGTCTTGTACCATTGTCCATCAGTGTCCAAGAGGAATTGGTTCTAGGAGCTTTTGTAGATGCCAAAATCTGAGGATACTCAAGTCTCTTACAAAATTTGATGTAGTATTTGCATAGAAGCTATACATGTCTTCTCATATTCTTTAAATGACTCTGGATTACTTTTATTACCTTGTGCAGTGTAAAAGCTATGTAAATAGTAGCTATGCTGTGTTGCTTAGGGAATGACAAGAAAAAGTGTATGCTCAATCCGTACTCTTCTTCAGAATTTTTTGACCTGTGGTTTGCACTTGAGAATATGAAATCCACGGATATGGAAGACTCACTGTTTAAGACTTCATAAGGTTTAGGAGTTGATACATTTATTAACAAATGTTACTCCATTTACCATTTCTGGCAGAATTACTGTTCATTTTAGTTTACATCAAACCCTTGAAATTAGACAGCAAAACAGAGGGGCCAGTGAGATAGCTCAGCGGACTGCAGCACCTGCTTAGGCAAGCTTAGGAAGCACAGGGACTGGGGTTGATCTCCAGCACCACATGCCTTGTGCCAGCCCCACCCCTAGGGTGGACTGAGCCGGCCACAGAGTCCCTGTAATCCCAGCGCTGGGGAGGCTGAAAGCAGGAGGATCACTATGAGTCTGAGCTGCGTAGTGAGACCCTTTGATAACCAGAAAAAATTTTTCCTTTTTAAATTTTTTTTTTTATTT